TRTWTAYWTRCCGAGTACACTCTGATATTGTATCCAATATTTAATTCCAGTCCGACAAACGTGGCATGGTTTGCAAACACACTATTGCATGGATGGTAAATCCTAGGTTGAAGAACAATTAAAATTTGTAAATCATAAACTAAATCAAATAATAATAATATATGTTAGGTAAAATCAAGGATGGTACTTACACGGTGTTGTTATCCGCCATAGACGTATAATAAGCACGGTACTCAAAAAAGTCATCAATACTGTGTTTCTCATTTTCATGAACGTTTTGCCAATATACGATAACGTCTCTTGTGATATCGTTGACGGATGACGGCACGCATTCAAAGCTTCCAATATCTATTTTAGGAGGTCGTTTAGGCGCTGCAACAATAATTATATATTAGTTAAACGATAGTAATTAACTTTACAATTCTTTTTACACATTCTATAGTACATAGGTACTATTGCAGTATTACAATAAAATTATAAACGGTGAAAAATTCAGGGGAAATGAAAAACGACCAAGGAGAATAAGTCCTAACCAAAAACAAAAAGGTTCGACAGAAATAAATTGTAATTGAAAAGTTTATTATTTATAAAGAATCAAAAAATAAAATACCTAGAGTAAAATTGTATTACTACTATATATTACTACCTATATGATTATTATATTGGCTATATTAGTAATCACTTACGATTTCATTGCATACTAAAATATCCAATATAGTAATAAAGTGTCATAGTTTTATATAAATGTTGTTTCATAAGTCATAACGTTTTATATTGTACCTATTTCTCGTAATTTCATGTTTAATAATATTTTTAGAATTTTTGATTCTTCAAAAATAGTTTAATTTATAAATAAAAAACATATTCCAAGACAAGAAATATAAGATAATTTTTTCTATAATCATTTGGTATTGGACAAATTATTTGATGAATATTAATACTATATAATATAGTATCATCTATTTTATTTTATTTTTTAATATTAATATTAATAACTAACTGTAGGTATACGTATCTAACATAATAATATATTCTTTTCAAACTTTTTCTACTTTTTGTCCGAAATTTTTTTCAAGGGTCCATTGAAAGAAACTAACCAAATATTTAACTGTATCGATTTCGGTAAATTGACAAAATAAATCATCGTGGAATAATATACTGCAAGAAAAAGTCAAATATCACGTGGAAAAAATGTCGCCAGTATAAAATGCAGCTGTTATATAATTATACTATATAATTGGAAGAACTTATGCATTTTTAACTACAAAATAATTTGCAATTTGACGAGTTTTGTCAAAATTTGAACTTTAAATGCTTATAAAAACAAAAATTCTTGCCTATATTCTATATATCATATTCTTAAATTTTCAAGCTTTTTAGTAAAGCGAAAAAATATATTTTATTGGTTTTAAAATTGTTATGCCTATAAGTACCTCAAAAAGAGTCAACAAATTTTTTTAATGTCACCATAGTGATAAAATAAAAATTTGCTGAAAATTTTAAGTATCTATACGGTTATTCGTTTTTGAATTACAACAAAAGAAATTATTCGTTGATAAATCGTTTTTTATGAGTAAGTATCCGATATTGTATATTAGGGAAACCTTGTTTGTTCGCCATTTACTAAAAATATACTTCACCTTTAAGGATCAACTTCCATAGACATTTTTTTTATTATTGAATAACTGTAATTATTAAGAAACATACTTGCATAAAGTGTATATAACCTAACAAGTATAATATACTATAATTACTAAAAATAATATAATAATAAATAATAATTTCTAAAATCTAATTACTTAAGTCTAATTAACATATTATTTTGTTGATCTGGGTATTGTTGAAGAGTGACATTGCATATCTTGATGAAAATGATACGCTTTTTGTTTCTTATGTACTCATACTTATTAATTTTAAAGAACTTAATTACGTTATTATAAATTTAATTCAACAGACACCAAATAAACGCAGTGAAATGAGCGTGCGTGAAGGAATACATTTGACATACGAAACCAGAATGAAAGATATAAATTTTTTGGATAAAACTTTTGATAATTTGATCACCACAACCTTGGTTAATTTTCGTGTGCGTAGCCCTAAAAATAAATTCTAACATGATCGACTTTGAAATTGTCCACGATCGGCCTTTTATTGTTAAATAAGTATAACTTTAATTCTTGTATTAAATATTCAAATCTTAGATCTTTTTTTTTAAWATCTACTAACTATGACTAACCTATAAGAGACCTAGTATTAAATTTTTAACCTTTTCAACCGAGCAAAACAAATATTTATAGACAATAAATAATAAAAACTTAAAATGTGGTGTAGCACTCCTACTTATAGGAATTCCGCGATTTTTTTACCTACTAAACTATTGTAACCATAATAGTAAAATGTACCTAATTAGTTTTCTTAGTATGAAATTCTTACTTMTGGCAAAAGATTGTGTAGTTAAATATACCACAATTAACATTATTGCAGCCATTGATCTTGGTGTTACATATATTTGTTCCATATTACTCATGACAAATCTGTAATAAAAACAATTTATATTAATTTATCTTTTAAACAAATGGAAATTACACTATCCATTAATTCTAAATATTTAATGCTTTTTGAGTCACTCATAGATCGTGATGCTATATTAAGTTGCATTTTAATAATTTAAAATGTTTTATTCCTAACAAAATAGTTTGGTAATTATGGCTTCACCCATGGCAAAATAAATACTTTTTACAGTGTGTTACGTTCTCCGACTCTCATTGCAGGTTGCATATACCAAAGCATTAAGATCGGAGAACCTAAAACATAGGAAAAATTGAGAATGCGCACGCAAGATTCAAACACGTATTGTTGTTGACATACCTTTATATTTTATCATGGCTGTACCTACACTGTTATTGGCTACATGGATAAGATTATATTCATTATAAAGAACACATATCGGCCATCATACTGTATGACCAGGGCCGACTGAATCAAAGGGCAAAGGGGTTGTAATGATTGAGGGCCCTCATATGTGCAGGGCATTACGGTCAGGATTAATTATAAACCAATAAATAATTGCAACAATTAAATACTGCACAACGGCACACTAATATTTTATTAAAATATACAGGGTGATTGATTTATCATAAAACACTCATTATTTCAAAAAGTTCTTTTGACTTTTTTCAAAATATTTTTTTACATGGTTTCAAGTTGTTAAAAAAACCAACGTTTTTATTAAAAAAATATATTTTTTAATATTTTTTATCCTTATCATTTTTTAAGTTTTTTACTTTTTTGAATTACAACATTTAATTTCATATTCCAAAGCAGAATATTTTTCTAAGTATTTTGATACATAGAAATCGACTTTGGGGCTAGTAGTTAATGAGTTATAAGTATTTATAAAGTATAGACAAGTGGAGTAGTGGACAAATATTTTGCGGGGTAACCCCGTACCACTCCACTCTGCCAATCTAAACTTTAAATACTTATAACTCATAAACTACTAGCCCCAAATTCGATTTTTATATATCAAAATACTTAGAAAAATATTCTGCTTTTAATGAAATTAAAGCTCTATGTTGTCATTCAAAAAAGTGAAAGACATAAAAAATGATAAGGCTAAAAAATATTTAAAAATATAATTTTTTAATAAAAACGTTGGTTTTTTAACAACTTGAAACCATGTAAAAAAATATTTTGAAAAAAGTCAATACTTTTTGAAATAATGAGTGTTTGATAAATCAATCACCATGTATAATAAACAATACCTATGTGATAACTTACAAAATTAAAGAACATTTAATAAACTCGAAATCGGAGCGTACACAGCACGATAGCTGTTGATCCGCAAATGACAGGACGTCGAGTAGAACTGAGAACAATACTTATTATCATATTATCACATTATTATTATTACTATTACATGTTATCACTTATTAATACACAGGTGTAGCGGGCCCGTGAGCCGTTATTCATTAATCAGTGCATTGTTCAACATAAAAAACTGTAGATTGATTTGCTATTAATACGTCATAGGGTAAGACATTCCTCTATGAGTAACTAACATGGTAATATAAGTTTATGAAACATTAGTCATGATGTGTAAGAAATATGAATTGAAAATACTTAACTAAATTGTTTATTTAAAAAATATCATTATTATAATATTATTGTTACTAGATTTAAATGATTGTGTATAGGTACTACATTTAATGATCATACAGCTTTTGCAGCGATGGTTGAATGGTTGATAAAGTAATGGATACAACATTCTACAAAATATAATTCTAATATTACTACGTCTTTGTTTATAATAAAAATAAYATTTGGTACATGACTGCTACATGTTTGCTACATAATATATATAATATAATAATGATAATAATAATATGGAGTCAAATAATTCACAATATTATAATTTACTTTATGATTCCTTCAATAATTTGATAAACTGATACTAAAATGTGTGATTAATCATTTATTAATTATCGTTTAACAGTATTAGAAATTTAATCTATTAATTTATCATTTATTTTTGATAGTTTGAAGTTTTTAGATAGTATACAACTTCAATATTTCAGTTTCCACTTTTCAGTACCTAAGTGAAGTTAAGTCTTTGTTTTAATAATTTTAACTGCAAGTAGTACAAGTAGTAGGTACCCAATTTACAATCTCAAGTCTTAGTTTAAGTAGCAAATAAGTTTTTGTTTAAAGAAAACTATAATTTTAATACAATTATACATAATAATTTTAAATAGGTAGTAAAGTTTTAATCAATAAAATGTATTTATCTACAATATTATTTATTTACTAATAGTCTATTTATTAATATGATATATTTTAAATTGGTAAATAATAGGGTATATACTTCTTATTTATAGCAACAAATAAGTTTCCATATGATAATATAGTAGATACAATAGTGGAACAAATGTACTTTAACACCTCTTGCAATTTTTTTTTTTAACTTTCTTATATTAACTACTTTAGAAACATGATACAATCAGAATTTGTCGGTTGGACTTAGTTTCGAAATTATAGTCTTTGGGAGTAAGCAATTTTATGATTTTTACGCTATATTTATCATAACGCTATTGTTAAAGTATAGGAAGCAAGTAAGGTAGAGTATGATAACTGATAAGTAGTTGAACGCTACGCCTGCCGGCTCCAATTGCCAGACTCGATGACCTATTAAAGTAACCTAAGTATATAATGGCTCCCAAGCTCCTCGGAGCTAAAATATCCGAACTGAGGAAAAGGGTTGATCCCTTTTTGGATCGTAGGGAAGGGGAAGCGTATCGTATAACCTAATAAGCTGCGTTGAGCCCAGATAAATAGTTTGTTATATAGATATAGATAGAGATAATATACTAAAAATCTAACTAGATAAAGATAAAAATAAGCTCTACTTAAATTATCTATTTATTAGATAAAAGATAATCGGAATTAATCTAGATAAAAAGCAGAAAAATTAAAAAAAAAAAAACAACATTTTAAAATTAAAATTGTATTCGATCAAAAAGATGCATCAGGTTTATCATATAAACAATATTTTGTATTTGTTTAAGGTGTTTGAAACTTTATAGGTAAGTTGATTCCCGAGACCTATTTTATGTATTAGTTGATTCCCGGGTCATTAAGGTATGAGTTAATTCCCAAAAAAAATTGAAAAAAGGTAATCACTGATTATAATGCATCATATCCGTATAATACAGAGACCTARTCGTATCGCATATCGTATCGTAAAATACTAAAATAAAAATGGAAAATCTTCAATAATATAGAATTCGTATATTTATTTGTAAAATAATTAAAATATACACAAAAATTCTACAATATTACATAATTTATGTATTTATTTATAAAAAAATTTAATTATTCTAAAATATTTAAAAAAATTTAATTATTCTAAAATATTTAATTATTCCAAAATATTTAAAAATATTTAAAATAAAAATAGCACCAGATTACTTGAAATTAAATGAAACGTATACATATATCGAAAACTTTCCGATGGTATTACTACATAAAAATATTTATTTAAATTAAAATCCGTTCCCTAGTAATCAGATATCGTTTAATTTTTATATTATGATAACCGGTAAGCCTTTCTTTAAAGATATCTGAAATAAAATTACCGTTAATCGTTTAAAACCCGTTGATCAGGTGTTTTGTTACTTGTTAAAACTAGTTTTGGAAAATCATTTATTTTTAAGTCGTTTATTTAAGCAATTTGTGGTTTGATAACAATAACAATTATTGTTACAAAATCAAAAACTTAATGTGCTTTAATTTGGTTGATTGTCACCCAATTTCAATATTCATTTTTCAAACTGCTTTAAAGTTTAAAACATATGATCAAAAACTAAATTGCATGAGATTTTTTTTTATTGAGTTACAATTTTCTTATATTTTATAGCTATAAAAAACCGTAACTAAATACAATAATTTTCCACCATGATTTTAGACACTAATTTAAACGTTAACCAAAAATTTTAAACTATAAAATAATATCATTGACCAAATTATAAATTGTGACAGAGTAACACGATATAATTACTACGTAAAACTCCGACTATATTATTTTTTATTAAAATATCGTAAATATTATAAGACTCTATTCCACCAACTATTTCGTCAATGCACGACAACGACGACGTTTATAACGGTATTTATAACATAAGGATATACCATTATATATATACAGGG